GAATTGGTGAGAGCAGAACCGGTTCCTACCTTTCTTCTCCAGCATTAATTTTTGCTCCTCTCGCCACTTCTTGATTTTCTCTGGTTCCGGTTTCGCATCAAGCACCGATGAATGGGGGCTGGTACGTTGCGATCCATCGCCTGTCACAGATCCATCGAGCGCCGATAGATCCAGGCCCGATTCTTCGGTCCCACTTATTGGCGCCGTTTCAGTTATGCTATCACTTTCTGCAACTCCAGCACATTATTCAGTCGCAACGTAACAGCGCCAACACACGGCAAAACTACATGCTAAGCAGTAGTGCACTGATGAGTCCCACCCCTAACCATAGCACTCACTGTCTGTGTTTATAGCCAAGGGATGAAACACGGGCAGGCCGATTTCCACATTATTTCCTATACATGATTTTCTTACATGACACTGTGTCTTAACTACATTTCCGACCCTACTATTTCTCCTTTCATTACAAAAATCACGGCACCTATTTTTCTAATTCAAGCCTATATTCTTAGGCTCTTATTGGTCTATGGTTCTTCATTTACTGTTCAACTTACTTCCGCCAAAATTTTGCGAGTGGGTTCACCGGCCAAGTGCCATCCCAGGACAGCGATACCAATCCTCACGCAAGTCTGGGCCCCGCGTACGAGGGGGTGAAAGTTTTGGCGGGAAAATTGCTAACTCGGAAACAGAAAAGTTACAAACATTTAAATCAGTTTCGCGTTATACATTTAAATCAATTTCTTCTTCCACTACACTTTTTCGGTCTTTCAGTGGCAGTTAATTAATTATTACTCAGCTAAATATGCATACTGCTAATGCAGTACTGTTGACGTACAGAGAGGATCCCCAGCCCCTCTCCCCATCCCTCCTCCCCACCCCCCGCCCTCGTTGCTGCAGGCCAGGGCTGCAATGTATGACACGCAAGAAAACAATTCGATGGCCTTTACCCCGGCTAAAAACGATTATCCACCAAATTACAGCTTCAAAAAGAGAATACTCGCAAGAAAACCGACCCAGCATCGTAAGCAAGGATTTCCGGAAGGCTACAACATCAACTTGGTGGCTATCTCTCGTCCTCTCAGCCCGACCTACACAAATACTAGCACCGTTGGTACCAGAGCCCTCGTTAACAGAGTCCTTTTTGGCCCCGTTCCAGAGAGCATGAAAAATGGTTGACGCACAGCTAAGGGCAGCGTTCTTCCAGCCACATCAGCAAATGCAACGGCGCAAAAGTTGGTGGAGAACTTTATGTTTGGTTCAAGTCGAGCAGAATCAAGAACTTTTATTTGCAAAAAATATTTGGTGCTAGAAAATTAACATATGTTACGCAGTTATTTCAAGTATTGTAGAAATTTTAAAGATACAAACAGCGAATATCCCTGGCAAGGGGATTGGAAGAGAACGGGGGCCTGAAATCTTCAATGTGTTAACATATGCAGTTTGTTTGGTGTTGCTGAACCACCGTGAAGAGGAACAA